CGCTTCATCATGTCCCGGTGGGTAATTATGACGGTTGGTTCAGCGGTCTGGAGAAAGAACCGAATGGGGAAACTTCTCGTATTCCCGGTTCTGCTCTTTCTGCTCCTCCACCTCACGGCCAACTTGGTTTGAATCCAAAAGAATATAGTATACAAGGTGCCACGTTCCGTTTGGCAACAAATGCTACCCCAGGTGTTGAGCTGATGCTTACTTGTCTTACTGGGAATACATTGCCTGGTGACACGAGTTTTCTTAGTCTTAATGGAACAGTGACCAGAATGCGATTTGTCGTGGCCGCGATCTCGTACGAGAGTTTGGCTGCGCCTTAAGGAATATGTGCGTGTGTATTATTAATTTTGGTGATTATCATCGTTGCGCTGCTCTTGAAAAAGGTCGTCAAGGTGCCAGTGGTACAGACCGGGAACGTCTGACTGCAAACGGAACGAAAAAGCCAAGGGCATCCTATAATCGCGATCAATACACAAAGGCTTCTCGAGCACCAGTAGCTCACGACCTACCGCCATCCGCTTTCCTTTGGTCTTATCCGCCGAACAATGTAGCCGAATCGGAATCCAATATGGTTCAAGCTAGTCCACATGTTCTTGATTCTGACTACGGCTATGATGCAGTTTATCCGAGCCAATGCTGTTCCCATTGCAAGCGCAGCATTGGCTGTTGTCGCAGGAGCCAGTGGAGTTGGCCGGGGTCCCGTAAAGCGCGCGCTGTCTCAAACAGACGATCCACAGTAACAATATGCGGAGTTGGCGCTTGATCAAGCTCGACCGCGTTTGACTGGCTTTCGAACCTGTTCTTCGCTACGTGATGGTGTTCCATACGCCTCCATGACTCTGTTTGGAGCCGCGTCACAGTCAACCAAACCGTTCGTTTGGCGCCTCGGTGTCTAAGGGTTTAAATATTGGTGGAAACGGAGTTGGTGGCGGTGATGGTTTCACACAATCTCCGCCGTTACATAAAAGTCCTAATAACAAAACATCCCACTACAATGAGATTGTTGGATTCATGCAGACAAGAGAATATTCATCCCGGCTGGTTCTTCAACAGCAACAAGAAGCAAGCCAAGTATGTTGGCTATGCGACAAAACAAATCACGAAAATTTGTTTAATTTACTGTCTCATCTAACCCACTATTACCATACCAGCAGTAAAATTGATGACTATAAGAAGACATAATACCAGACCTCCGCCTCGTCCCGTTTCGTTTACCATGGTGATCCGTTAAAGATCTGAATCAATCGCTTGATTTTCGATCAGAAATTCTAGAAGAGGAAAAATGGACTGGGGTGTATCAGTGGGATTAAAATACAGGTCGACATTTTTAAAGATTAATCGGGTGCTTACGGGAACGGCTCACAAACGATTTCGAGATAGGATTATTGGGTCACATTACGTGTATGACTATGTACCGGAATAATTTGTGTTCTACAAATAAAGGTTTTAAGCTGAAGCCGTGTACTAATATGAATTGGGTTTAGAAAGTGGACACAGCTGCCTGGTTAGCATACGCTACGGAGTTGAGCCAGATGCAACAGGCGAAAACCCTATTGGAAACATTTTGATTACGGACAAAGAGGTCACAATTATTCTAAGAGTATGTAACAGATAATATTGTGTTCCAAAGATCCAACTTTGAAGCTGAATGCGTGTACTGATATGAATTGGGTTAAGAAAGTGGACACAGCTGCTTGGTTAGCATGTGCCAGGCAGCTGAGCAAAGTGAATCGGACTAAAGCCATTTGCGAGGCATTTGGATTACGGAAGAAGAGGTCACATTACTTTGAGGAGTTTGTACTAGAATTAATTTTGTTCCACAGAAGCAGCTTTGAAGCTGAATGCATGTACAGATAAGAATTGGGTTTGGAAAGTTGACACAGCGGCCTAGTAAGTATGTGCCACGAAGGTGAACCAAGTGAATCGAATGAAAACGATATGAGAATCTTTTGGAATATAGCGGAAGCGGTCACATTACGCCTTGGAGGTGAAGAAGCTTGTTTGATAGAAGGTATTCAGTAATGTGCTTCTTAACCAGGCGCTGGAAAAGTTTTGATGCGATGGGGGTGTGAATATTGGGGCGGTAGTTGGAGGGGTCATGTAGGGGGCTCTTTTTGTGTTGCGGGATTATAGTACAAATTTTCCATTGATTGAGAAATTTGCCATATTTTAGTGAGAGGTTGAATGTTTAAGAGTAGAAGAGGAAGGTCCGGCCCACCAGAGCGTAGCAGTAAGGAAGGAATTCCATCCATGCCAAACCGAGTGGAAGGTTTAATTGCAAGAAGGGGTTTGATCAGCTCATTAGGCTGCAGTTCTATGTGGGATAGGGTAAGCTCAAATGAAGAAGCAAGAGAAACAGAGGTGAGGAAGGTATGGATGATCAAAAAAGAGCTAACAAGAGTTAAAAGCATTTACAATAGATTCAGGTGAATTGGCGACTGATTTATCTGGCAATTTCAAATAACTTATGTTGGGATGAGAATA